TTTTTTTGTGGGTTTTCTCCATGTTTGTTATTTTGGATTTTCCTTTTCTTTCCCAAAATAGACAGAAGACTTTCCCCCCCTCCTTTTTTAAAATAATCTCTGTTCTGCTGGAGAAATTGCATTAGATATTAATAATCTACCATTCAGAGCTGGACTTTGACACAGCAGGAACTGCAGGACTTTATTGGTAACCATTCTGAAATTTGATGCTAGAATTAGGTTTAAAACACTTCAGGGTTTTTTTGTTTGTTTGTTTGTTTCATAATTGCAATTTTGCTTTATTTTGCATATTTGGCAAAATAAGCTTCCATTGGTGTATATTTAGTAGAGAAGGAAGAGATTATGTGGGCCTGGAGAAGGGAGTTGATTTGTACAAGGTTCTGATTGGGCCATTTGAAAATCCTGAAACAGAAACCTCTCTCGGGTTTCATTTTTGCCCTTGAACGCAGGGTGTGAGGAGGGAGCATCTCTTTTCAAGAACAATATTCGTATTTCCTTCTCAGGCACTTGAGTGTTTATGTTCTGCTTCTCTTGTAAATCGCATGTTTTGGTTTTGTTGGGTTTATTTCTTATTTCCTCTCTCCCTCCCCACCTGCTGATGTTTTAAAAATAATTAGAAAAATGTATTTTAACAGTTTTCAAATAAGATATGGGTAGGTTGTATTGTAGAGGGAAGTGTTTGTTTTGTTTTTTCTATCATGTTCCTCACTAGACACTTGTTAAGCTCAGCATTGTAATCCATTAAGTTCACGATTTTCTAGCCATGTTTGCTCCTTGAGACAGCTCATGTAATGAGCTGGCTTTCTTTATACAGAGATTTTAAAATATTGTGACATTCTCTATGCCACCAACAGGATTTTCATTATGAGTTTAAGTATATTTTTGTTAGTAGAGGAGATTTGATGAGTTCTGTATGCTAACTCCTCTTTTTCTTCAGCTAAATTATGCCTGGAATGTTTTAATGCAATTGCTGCATATCTGAATTTCTCCTGGCCAGTCATTCACAACTAATGGAGAAGGGCAATATGTTCTTCTGCCTCGGGTAACTGCTTGTTATAAATGCACACGTTTTCTGTCTGCATACCACAGTTAAATGAAAGGCTATTTCAATATATAAAAGGTTTTTACATATTGAAATTGAAGAAAGAAATGTATTATATGACCTCTTTGAGTATGGGACAAATGGGAGTTAAAAGTGGTAGTTTTTTTAAAAGCGCAATATTTTATTTCATTGCAGATGTGGAATTTCCCTTCCCAGATACAGTTTCATCTATCCAGCCAACCTAAATCCTCAAAAAGGAGGAAGGCCTTAGATTTAAGAACAGTGCATCGCAGATGCTTTTGATCATGAAATAAACATTTAATATCATATGACCCTAATTTACTTTTGAACTTTAGGTCCACACAAAATATATCCTTATGCTGTTCAGTACTAACCATAACATAGGTAGGGTAATCTCTCTGATTGCTTGCTTCCATGTTATTTAACTTGTAGTTATCCAATAGCTTCTTGTTTTTTTCATAGAGCAGGGAGAGATGATGTGCAAGATAATATTAAAAAACCAAAAACAGTCCCAAAGAAAAACAAAACAAAAAACCCAACATGAAACTATGCTCAGTTGCAGAAACATTCAAAAGGATGCTAAGAATCAAATTTTAAAAACATGATGTTATAAAAGAACATTTACTTTTTGGCTTTGTCTTAGTAAACATAGAGTACCAGAAAAAGTCCTTGGTAATTAATTTCCTTCCAAAAATCTTATTCACATTGTTTTGGCCTTGTTTTTCGGTTTGGCTTTTTGGTTTTTTGTTTGGGTTTTTTAGTTTGTTTTATAAAAAGACTGTCTATGCTTGATGTTTGTCTAGAGACTTGATTGAGGACAGGATAGAAATACTGTTCCAACTCCCTTGGTAGTAAGCGGTCTTCCAAAGTCTTAAGAGGATGATCTGATTTTAATTTTTTTATTTGTTTGTTTCATGAGAATTTGCTTTAGGCTAGATATTTTATCGATAATGTAGGCAAGCTAGAGTGTTTACCTAGACCAAACTATGAATTGAATGGAATTAATTACCTCATACCAATGCTATCCCCACAATGCTCCGGGCTCTTCCTTGCAAAACTTAAATGAACATTTGCATCACATAGTCTATGCAATGGTTAAGCTTTTATAATTCTTTTATTAAATTGCTCTCACATTCCTTCACTAAAAGTTTTAGTTTCTTTAGTATCTTTCTGCAATACCAACATAAAATACAGTTGCAGCATCTTGCAAATCTGGTGTTATTCTATGTAAATAATTGGAATAATAACATTAGTAATTTACTTTTCTTAAACACTTAAGCCCAGACCTGCTTAGGCACCAAAAGTACTTTTTAAAGAATAAGTTACTGTTTATTTCTCTAAAACACACAGTACAAGATTAGACTATACTTTGGTAAACATGTAAGAAATTCGCTTTTCTCCATCCACACAATTTTGAAGGCCTTGATGCTGACGCTCAGGAGGTTTGTGTCCAAGTGGAAGCCAACTGCAGCTTCTACAGCTGTAGATATGCAATGGCAGCAAACTGCGTCTGCAGGTCACAGAAATGCTTTGAGTCTGTTATGTTTGTGTGAATATGATATGATATTCAATATACATATATATTGAAAANGGCGGCGGCCCGGAGCGCTCGCACAGCTGCAGCCCGCAGCAGACGTGGAGGTTTTACTCTCTCTCTGCGGTGGGTTTCTGGCAGCCTCTGCCCGGGACATACTAGATTTAAGCCGCTTTTAAAAGGCGTTTACCCAAATGCAGCCTTCCCTGCGCATCCCGAGCTACCTGAGGTTCGTTATAGCGCTCATCCTCCCTTTTTTTTTTTTTCTTTCCCTCAAGTCTCTTATATTTTCTTCTAATTTCCTATTGTGTTGTCACTTACGGGTTTCTTAGTTCTGCCGCGTTTCCACTGCACGGTGTTGTATTTTACTAATATGTCCGACGTTATAAAGTACACCACTTCTTTGTGAAATCTCTAGGACTAATAAAATTATGCTGTTCTCTATACCATAATGCACCTGCATTGCCTGTCGCTATTGGTTTCATTAAATATAGTCTTTAAATCATTACAGGTTAATCCCTAGTTTCCCGGTAAACAAGCCACTTTGGCTTATGGCCAAGTCACTCCAGAATGACATCTCGTATTTAAAGGGGACAACAAACTGTCTTTGTGAATAACTAGTACGAATAAATAGTCTGAAATTAAGACAGAAACGCTTAATGGCTTTAAAACTCTTTAGGGGCTTAACATGCTTTTTTTAGACCTGCGGGACCAACTGACAGAACAGAACAGACAAGACGACCCAAATCTTTCTAGATACCTAAACAGGATAAAAATTTTTCCCTCATCTTCTGACAGCGTGTTCTAACCCAGTAACTCAGTATAAGCACCACTCACCGACAAAAAACTGTGATCGACTCTTTTACTGAATATATGGGTGGCTCTGAAAAGAGCCTTTAGGTTGAGAGTGACGGTCCGAGGCGCCCTACTTGGAGCTGGTGTACTTGGTGACAGCCTTGGTGCCCTCGGACACGGCGTGCTTGGCCAGCTCGCCGGGCAGCAGCAGGCGCACGGCCGTCTGGATCTCCCGCGAGGTGATGGTGGAGCGCTTGTTGTAGTGCGCCAGGCGCGAGGCCTCGCCCGCGATGCGCTCGAAGATGTCGTTGACGAAGGAGTTCATGATGCCCATGGCCTTGGACGAGATGCCCGTGTCGGGGTGCACCTGCTTCAGCACCTTGTACACGTAGATGGAGTAGCTCTC